AGTATAAAGATGCATGCTTTAACGTTATTAAGAGTTAAAAATGGAACCTTGGAATGATATCTTCACGAAATGCATTTTCTGCATTCTGTCGTGAAATATCCGGATATGTGCCCGAGGAATATCCGGATATGTGATATCCGGATATGGGTTTTGAGTATCCGGATATTAGATATTCGGATATTGCATATCCGGATATGTCCAGTGAGATATCCGGATATTGAATATCCGGATATGGTCCCGAGGAATATCCGGATATTCTGGGATTTCGTAGAACAGTAGCTGTGTTGTGTGTACAGTAGGCTATTGGGGGTTTGTGGACCCTAGATTGATGAAGTTGAACTTCTGTTATTAATGAATTAAGTCAGAATCAAGTGATTAAGGGCTTATGGCTTGGTATGGAGCCTTAAGACGTAAAACGTAAGGAAAGGCGTTGTCTTTAAGTTATATGCTTGTGTTGCATTATTATTGATATAGTATTGGTTCATAACAGATTGTGAATCTGCTGTGTTTGGACTTTGAGCTGTGGACTCTTGGCTATGGGAGTTAGCTTGCAAGATAAGCTTTCGTGTCCTCGGTTTAGCCATGTTGTGGTTCCACCATGTCCCATGGGGGTATGGTTGTATGCATGCTGTGTCACATGCTTTGATTATTTGAAATGTTGTTGAGCTTTATGTCTAATGGCTTTTAATATGCATGTGTTGTTTCATCTTGACAGTAAACTTGAGTCGGTGGCGTCATACGATATGGTGATCCGGGGTGAATGCAAGTAGCGTCTTGCACTATTTGTGGGTATTAGACGTATATAAATCCTGCATTTCTCTGGCCAGTAGAATAGAATTGACACACATGACATGATTATCTGCTGCATTGCACCATTTTAGAACTGATGATGATAAACTGCTTTTGAACTTATATTGCACATGTAAGTGAGCTTGGGGTGGAAGATCCTTGAGGACCCTTTGTCTTACTGAGATTTCTTGTTTAGAGATCTCACCCCACGTTTGGGGAATGCTTATTTCAGGTTCTGGTAGTTTGGTGACTGATGCCTCTGGCGGCAGGAGGCCAGAGCTTAGTTGATGATATTATGCTGTTTGCTGCCATGACTGGATATGGATGCTGTTTATGTTTTCCGCTATTTATGTTGTTCTTGAGACTGATGTTGGGCGTGTTGCCTTATTTGAGTGAGCATGGGGATTGTCCATGACACTTTATGTTAGTGCTTTTGATTTGGAGTTGTATAAACTGTTAGTTGGTCCGGTCTACGTTGTTGTAGTTTCGTGACTAGAGCCACACTTTTATTATCTATGTTATGAGGTATATTCAGATAGCTGTTTTATTACAATTACACACATGTGATGTTTTATTAATTGATTAATAAGCAAGTTGGTAATGATAATGACATCATAATTGAAAAGAAAAAGATATTCCGCATTTTTAATTAAGCGCTGCTTAATACGATAGTATGATAACATTACCAGATATATACGGGGTGTTACAAATTCTGTCGAAAAATTCATAAACATATTTATTTTTTAATTTTTGCTTTACATGGATTTTCGCGGAATTCATTTTCCGTCGATGATCTTCGACAGAATCTGAATTCCGTCAAAAATTTGATATATATAATTTCTTTTTTGATTTATTTTTTTGTAATTGTTTTCGACGAAATTCATTTTTCGTCGAAAATCTTCGACGGAATATGAATTCTGTCGAAAAATTCATAAACATATTTATTTTTTAATTTTTTCTTTACATGGATTTTCGTGGAATTCATTTTCCGTCGATAATCTTCGACAGAATCTTAATTTCGTCGAAAATTTCATAAACATAATTTGACGGAAATTCTTTTTGCGTCAAAACTTTTTTACGAAAAGTGATTTTCGTTGATAAGTTTTGACGGAATAATATTTTCGTTGAAAACTTCGTCGGAATAAGATTTTTGTCGAAATTTCTGTCTTTAATTTTGACAGAAAATTTCCGTCGAAAATTATGCTTTTTCTAGTAGTGAGCTTGCCGCTGGAGCAATGAAGAGGAACAATTCTACAGAGTCGATTAACTCAAACTATATTTGGTATAGGAAAGCCAAGAAAATCCACACACCATTCCTGATGGACCCCACGACCAATGGAGTTCATACACTTAGGCAGATGTTACAACCCGTCCAACATCTATAGATAGAATATGTTTCTCCCTGTCCTCTTGGTTGGAAAAATTCTGTAAGTGTTATTAATGTAGGACACCAATATATGAAATTCTAACACTATTGAAATGCACACAATTTATATGAATGTAGTCTTTACATTAAGGTTAATTCATTTTTTTTATTTGGGTTCAGATCGTTTTAACTTAAATTAGGTAAAATTTCATTTTCACGGAATGCGGTTTTATGATTTATCACTTGACCTCCAGTGATTTTAAATTTGTCACTTAGACTGATTGTTTTTAAATAATTTATTATTTAATTCCATGTGATTTCAAATTTTCATACATTTTTTTTATCAACTTTTATTTTATATTATTATCATATTATAAATTAAAATTATATACAGAAAAATATAAATTATTGATTTAAATTTAAATTAATAATAATATCAATTATATCCTTATAATTTATACATATAAATTTTTTTATTTTCCCTCTCTTTAATTTTATAACCTCGTCTATTTTTATTTCAAATCAAATATTATTTTATTTTATTTATTTTTACCCGATATTGTTATAAAATTATCTGAAGAAAGTAAATATCTTATTTTGATAATACATATTTAATTTATCTTAAATAATATTTTTTAAGATATATTTTTATAATAAAAAAAAATTTAAGATAATTTATAAGTTAATTTTAAAATAAATAACTTGAAATATTTTTAATTTCATATTTAATTACTAATTTTATTTGATAATATCATAATTATATAAAAAAAATTTAGAGAAGGTAAATATTTGTATATATATAAGAGTCTTGGGGAGGGGGATGAACCTTTAGCCATCACTGTTTCCCCGCACTCCGGATTAGTCCCATAGCCGGCTCAAAGAGTCGAAGCTCGTGGGGATACCGGAGGGAGCCAACTCGTCTCAAAGAGATAATTAGGGTTGGTAACTCCAAAAAAAAAAAAAGAGATTTAAGTGATATATTTTTGTAATCACATGAGTGTAAGTGAAAATTTAAAATCATATGAAGTTAAATAATAAATTATTGTTATCAAAAAAAAAAATAATAAATTATTTAAGCACAATAAATTTAAGTGACAAGTTCAAAATCATATGAAATCAAGTGATAAATCATAAAGTGAAAATGAAATTTTCCCTTTTGAGAGTCCACCATATGTGTAAATCTTGAACAAAAAATAATTTTGGCAAAAGTAGTTAATCTAAAATTACTTCCGTACATCGTACTATTACGTAAGCAATATATAGGGGAGCATCAAGCATGACCGCTTACTAGTTATGTACCATACATTAAAATTGAATTTCATTTTCTTGGTTCTTGACTTTACCAACAAAGTTATGTTAGGTCTTGATTATTTGCAGGAGAAAAATCTTTTTTTTTTTTTAAAAAAAAATTATTATACATTGTTTTAAATATAAAATATATTAATTCGAACATACACTAATTTTTTTATATAAATTTATAGACCAGTTATATGAATAACGAATTAATGTTACTATATTTGTTATTTCCAAAAAAAAAATGTTACTCTATAGTTGAATATAAGGTTTTTTTTTTTGTTATAAAAAAAAAAAAAAATATATATATATATATATATATATATATATATAAGGGTTTTTTAGCACAGTTACTATTAAGGGGTAATGGAAATATTTTATTTAAATATCAATGTCACAAGAATGGTGCTTGTACGTCAACTATCAAAGTATATTACTATATTTTATTTCTTTTAAATCTTAAAAAGTAAGTTTTTTATACTTACAAGTTGAATCAACTTCCATGATTTTTTCTTTCAATTTGACCGAAAAATATAATTACTGTGACAATGAAAACTGCCCATATTCTAAGTTATTGGGTGTAAGATTATAATTTATGCTATATTTTACACACAAGTTTTGGGCTTGAAATGTGAATTAATTAAGGGAAAAGTATTTTTCCGGTCAAGTGAGCTCAAAACGACGTCGTTTTGAGATTATTAGATTAAAAAATTATAATGATAAAGATTAATATAACTTTGCAATATATTAAAATTACAAAAATACCTTGATTTCCGTTTCAAAACGACATTGTTTTACGCTCACCGAAGATAATTTATCTCACTGGAGAAATCTTTTATTCATTAATTAAATCCTTAAACTGCATGCGTCATAAAAATTCTGACGCGCCTTGTTAAAATACAACAATTTCAAGTAGTAAAACTTCTAAATGTAGGTGCCAAATTGTTCTAAAACAAATGCATGTGCCAAGTTGAGTCATATCAGATATAAATTAGTCTAATCAAATAATTTCAAACCTAACAAAGACTCAGAAATTTCAGCTTTGCCAACTTTTCTATTTCTTTTCAAACTTTTTCCCCTTAAACATCAGAAAACAAATGATGATATGGTTTTTTTTTTTTTAAATCACCTTCTGCCTCACGTTTTCAATTAAAGATGAAAATGATTTTACATGAGAAAGTTAAAGATTTAAAAAATAAAAAATAAAAGAAAAGGAAATAACATGTTCTTCGAGTTACGATTCAGTCTTTCAATTTGTTAATGACTCCATTCATTCAATAATATGGTTTTGATATATTAAAATTCCTTTCACCTAATTGGATAGAAATGGGTCGATCAACCCATAATAATTATTAACACAGTAACTAACAAGGTTTAATTGGTAATTGACTAAAGAAGTCAATCCAAAGTTCCCTATATATACTAATAGGACGACTTATAATTATCTCCTTCTGTATTATATAATATTAAGTAGGAGATAGGTACAAACTGATGATACAAAGTGAAAGGACATCTTAGGTTACAAACTGATGATACAAAGTGAAAGGACATCTTAGGTTTCGAAATTCACAATTGATCTATAAGTTTGACCAGGCGTCCACCCTGCAGGGATCACATTGTTGGCCAAAATAGCCTTGCCAGACTCAAGTGTGGTTAGCCTAATAGAGAACGGTGCTTTCAACGGTGAGCCTTTGTCAAATTTCCAAACAGCACCCCATGATTGCTGCATGGAATCCCATGAGGCTGAGTCTAGTGCTTCCTTGAGTTCAACTTTGGCAAGATCACCATCCCCATCCTCATATTCTACCAATGTAGCAAAATATTCTTGGTTGGATCCAGAGTCCACATGGAAAGCTATTGACGTACCAGGATAGTTGCATTCAACTCTATAAAAAAATAAAAATAAAAAGCCCAACTTTGTTAGTTACAATATTGTGGACAAAGTGATAAAAACGTTGAAAAAAATTGATAATTTATAATGACAAAAAGTTAAGAGTGGGATTTTTTAATTCCAGTATAAGAATAAAGAGTTTCAACCGTTGATGGATAAAGAGTTTCAACGTTAATTTTTGTTCCTCTAAAGATTATAATTTATTAAGAATTAATAATTAATTATAAATATAATTTAATAAATTATAATTATCAGATACATGAAAATAAAAATCAACAGTTGAGATATAAAATAAGCCTTTTTATTTTCAGTAAGAGTAAAAAGATCCTTCCCCAAAAGCTAATGATCATGTATATGTCAAAAAAAAACCAAAACTAGAGTCAAGAAAGTTGAAATATTTATTGAAATAATAGTAAAAAAGTTTAAAAAATTTTGTCCCACTAGGAATAGACAATTAAATCTACTTGAACACATAAAGAAGAATTAATTAAAAAGTTTACAACCTACCTTCTAAATTGAATGTCTATTTTTCCAGCATCGCGTAGCTTCTGATCTTGACCTGAAACTGCCATTGCACCAAAAGCACTGCCACTCAAATCAAAATGATATTCAGCATCTGAGCCACACCCATCACACTCATCAGTGATAACTACCCTCACAGGTTTGCCAGAACATGCAGAATTCCCCGTGCACATCACCTGAAATTAAAACAAATTGAAATGCAAATTAAACTTGTATTAATTTTTCCCTTTGCATTTGCATGCAGTTGATATATAAATGTTATTAATCAGAATTCAGAAACATATTTAGCTATATATGTTCATTGTTAGCACCTCATAACAAGAACCACAGCCTTTGCCTGAGTCATATAAGAGAGGGCTTCCCGCAGATACCATTGCTGAGAATGGAGATTGTCCAACAGCAGTGCCATATCCACAAGCACCACCTACATAATTGACACATGTAATAATTTAAACCGATAGAAATATGATATAAAATATACAATTATTCATCTGCCTTGCTTAACTGCTTAAACTTTATTGAGAATTGATTATTTGACATTGTATTAGAGCCTTTATGACTAAGTAGTTCAAAGCTCGATCATTGTCATCCCCATTTTTCTAATAATCTTTTAATAAATATTATGGAATTTTTTTATTAGGATAGGTAAGAAGACTTGTTCATTCTTTACCTTCAAACTCAATAGCTCTTATGTGAGGGGTGGGTTAAAAATATATTATAAAATATAAAGTTATTTGTCAAAAATATTGATTTAGTAGCATCCTAACTAGATCCCTGAATTTGACCTGATCAAAGTACAATGGATTGGATTCTATATAGTCATAACTTCTGAGGAGGATAAAGAGGCCGATTCGGGGTTAAGCATTACTTTGGTACATTCTTAATTTCGTAAAAAGGAAAATCTGCATGCATGTGACTAAATTTTTTGTTTTACCTTCACTTCCATCGCCTTGGGCAGGTCCATACCAAGTGGCCAGTGCAGGTGACCAATTTGAACCAGATGCAGAGTATGAAGCAGTATCAAGCTTTTTTGGGTTGAAACAAGAGGAAGGTATCACTAGGAATATTGAGAGTAAAGCTACAATAGTGAGTAGATGAGAGAATGCATGTTGAACTGTAAGAGCCATATTATCACAGAACCACTGGGATTTTCTTTGTACCCTAGGTAGTTGATATTGTTAATTGTGATATATGGTGTGAGGAATATGCCATGGCTAATGTGGTATTTATAGAGAAAGGATGAGTGAAGTGCATAGTTTCTTAACTTCGAAACATGTAAAAATATTCCATATGGCAATATAAAAGAATAAGCTTAACCAATGAGAGAGAATATTGAGTCTCACTTTCTTCAAAGAACAAGACAAATGAGGTGTTTGAATTGTTGTATAAATGGGTATGAATAATAAGATGGAAGACTCGATCTTTTCATTTTCGAATAATCATGCCTCTTCGTTTGCGAACAATCGTGTCTCTTCATTTTCAATGAGTTCTTTTTTATTCTGAAAAGTTGTGCATCTTCTCCTATGACCATTCATCTCTTATACATATTAGTGGTCGAATTTAAATAATTAGTTTTTCAGAATCCTTACCAAAACTCTGCTAAGTTTAACCTTCACATATTGCCTTGGTATGCGATTGATCAGCGTTCGTTGTGTCCGCTGATATTGCTTCTTCTGATTGTGCCACCGTCAAAACAAAAGTAACCCGTCATATCCTGGGAAGCATTTGTCCACAAACCTTAAACATTAATTTTCTGCAATTTTTTGGGGCCATGCATATTGCATTTTCATTTTTTTCGGATTGCATATAATTTTGTGAATTAATTTTTAATATCTTCATAATCAACAATACAGATTTTTTTTTTTTTATAACAACAATACAGATTTTACACTACCTACAATAACATGAATTTGAGATACAAGACATTTTACTTAAAGACAGCCTTTATAGTATCTTATCTTAGATTGCATTCTCATGAGCAGATTGTGACTTATATTATGATTGAAATGATAACTATTTTTAAAGTTTTCCATAAAGTATAATATTTTGTTATAAAAAATACCGATCATTATGTTATAAATAGTACATTAAACTTTGGTTGGCCCCATTATTAAAGGTGTGTGTTCCTGCGGTCTTAACTTAGTTGTTTAGGTTTGAACATCAGACCAATACCTAGATGAATTAATTCATTAAACGCGCCAAATTAAAATGAAAATGTATCCTTGTATTTTTTTTTAATAGAAATTAACGTATGTACTGAATATCTTTTTTTTTTTAAAAGAAAAGAAAAGATAAAAGAAGAAGAGGAACTTAATATCAGTTTGATGATAACTCCGAAAAAATAAATATATATATATATATATATATATATATATATATATATGGTAAAATCATTTTTGCATCCGCTTTACATACAACAACGACACGTGTATGGTTATGATTTCTTGCATTTAATTTTTTCAAGTATATATATGACAAGTATTTGATTGCTGCACGTACAAAAGCTGCAAAAAAAAAAAAAAAAAAAAAAAATATATATATATATATATATATATATATATATATATATATGAAAAAGTTGCCCGTTGATACTCTTGTACCAAAACAAAACTTTCAGAATCTATGTACGTCAACCAATTGTTTTTTTATATTTGAATATTTTTTTACATTAAATTATAAGGTAAATTTTATAATACATCTTATATTATTCTGGAAATTTTGTAAATAAGTAAATAAATAAATTCATTCTAACATTTTGAATGTATTTAAAGAAATTAAAAATTGTAACAACACTTCAAAAAGTAAATAATGTAACGAATGGGTAAGCTCACATTAATTACGGTAACGTGCGAGGTTAGACTTCGGAAGTCTTGATTGTTTTGTAACGATTGCAAGATTGGACGATGACATAACAGCCTAACTGTATGATGTGATTATTAAAATGATATATAATTATGCACTAGAACCACACATTCAGTGAAGACTAATCACCATTTTTTGTTTAATGCATTTCTTTTTTTCACGCTAACCGAGTTATAGTTCTGAAGGTAGAAAGCAGAAAATCAGGCATGGGTCTTCATTAACATATTATTGAACCGATTTAAACTTAAATTGAATTTCGTTGGATGTATTATTTTACAAAGTCAAGAATTTTTACACTTTATTAGATGAATAAAATCTTGTTAGGCGTGACTTCAACCAAAACCTCATTTTACATGAATTGTGAAAAAATCAAAACCTCTACTAACGGCTCATCAAATAATGAGAGTGTCATGAATTTTAAAACTACGGATGGAAACAATCTGTTTTACCTAATATAGAATTCTTTCTTTTGTTTGATCTCACATTATTTGTAATTCTTTCTAATATTTATATCAGTATATTTATAAACATAATCCATATTTCTTGTACACAACAACCACCACTAAAAATTAATTAACATGATAATGGTACTTTTGAACACAAACATATAGTCCACTGGCTAAATGGAAAAAGAATCAACATCGCATTAGCTATATCTTATTTTCTTTTTTAACTTGACATTGACCTTTCCCGTATACTAGAGATCTATGATACACCGAAACTTCAAAAAATTTGACGTGTCGTGTTCGATATTTACCGACACTCCAACACTCTCTGACACTCCAACACACGTTGCAGAAACTAAAAAAAGGTTCAAAGATTGTGTGTTGCGTTTTTAGTTTCAACAATTAGATTCGTTAGATTATAATTACTATTTTATTGAGTTTAATATAAATATTTGTAACATCTTACGTTTCTTTGCAAAATTGATGAGTATTATATGTTTAGCTTCATTTTTTTTGTTAAATTATTGAATATTAAATATAATATATACTACATAAATTAAAAATATTATTTAATATCAAAACGTATCCTAACGTGTCGAAATCTAACATTTTTTAGAATTAACGTATCGGAATACCGTATCGTGCTGTGTCCCGTGTCGGTGTCGGTGCAACATAGCTAGAGATTATAAAATATTAGTCACCAGTTTATATAAAAGTAAAATTAAAACACTATTGTTAATTTTAGTGTTAGGTAGAGGCAAAACTCATTTGATACAGCGGAAGTGAGAAACTACAAGGGGAAGAAATGTGTCATATTTTAAAAAAATATTACATAATTTAACTATATTTTATTTTTATAGTTGCATGTTCCTTTGGGCGGCAATTATTATTTTATTGCAACTATATCTATAGTTATTGTCATTAATATCATATGTTAAATATTAATTTAATCTATTACCGTAAGACTTTACTTTTATACCTCTTAAAATGTTTATCCCAACCCCATATATATGCAAATTAACTGAGAGAGAGTAGTGACCAGATTGGATATATAAATTAGTCGAAGTAAGAATAAATCGAATTATACACTTCTTGGATCACCATATATAAAAAGATAAATCCAAAGCTGTTTATGTAAATTAAGGTTGTTACACATGTGATTCAGATTTTCATTTTTATACATAATAGTTTAAATGACCGTATATTCATATTTTGAATATTTACGTTTTGGATTCAATTAAACTAGCCTATTAATTCATTTAAACATGTGAAAAGGGTGCATCCTTAATATTATTTCGATAATATTTATATGCAAATAATCAAAAAGTAGTCAATTGTTTTACAAAAGCATTCAAACTTTGCATACAAAGATTGAATTATCCTGAAAAAAAATTAAACACTTTACATATACTAAAATCATGCAAGATTTCTATGTCTATTTTCTTTATATGTCGTATCAAATAAAAAACAAAAATAGTACCTGAAAATATAAATAAATATTTAAAGACTTAATGTAATACATAAGTCACTTTCTTTATGAAATAACATTACATGCATTCACGGTTTATGGAAGAAACTTACAGAAAAAGGAGCAAGAGCACATGGGTGTTTGGGACCCACTTTGAATTTTAGGGTGATGTGTCGGTGGATAAAATGGACATATGCGACGACGTCGTCACTTTCAAGGAAATACGAATCGTGCAAATTAACCGCAAAACATGTTGTTCGTTAATGTAGCCGTTAATGGAGGTTATTAGCCGTTGAACTAGCTCATCCCCATACTGATCCAACGGTTCACAATTAGAAATAACGTCCAACGTGGGTGTCTGCATCACACAAGACAAACTCACCGAATATTTGGCAACAATCAAGGTGGCTGCTTCTTCGCTCGTTTTCTTTCTTTTCTGCATTATTTTTATTGTATGTGCAGTGTTCTCGTGACTTTGTTTACGTAATTTTGTGTATTCATAAAGCAAAAAACACGTGTATCACTCGTATACGAAAAGCAGATCATACTAAAAATTCAAACTTAAAAGTGGAATCAAATTTTCTTAATTAAGATCATTAATTATAGTATCAATTTTATTAATGCAGTTTAATCCGCCTCATGTCAAGCTTTAACTAGGGATGTCAATATAGGTTTTGACACGCATGGTCGATCCACGACACGACACGAAAATTCGTGTTCGGGTTAACCCGCAAAAAAATTTGTGTCGTGTTCGTGTTGATGTATTCGTGTTCGTGTCGTCCCGTATTTTTTTTAATTTTTTTTTAATTTTTTATTATCAATTTTTAATTTTTTTTAATTTCGATCCATTTTTTTAATTTTTTTGTAAATTACCGTTTTGACCCCTATTTTGCGTGTTATTCGTATTGTGTCAACCCGCAAAAAATTCGTGTCGTATCAGTGTTGAAGATTTTGACACGAATAAAAATTTGTGTTGTGTTAATGTTGATGTATTCGTGTCGTGTCGAATTTGTGTCGTGTCAACCCGTTTTGACACCCCTAGCTTTAACTTCATTAGTTTTTTATCTCAATTATCTCGCGAACAAAATAAATATAAATAAAAGTTTATTTTTATTGAAGAAGTCTGACCTCAAATGATTTTATTGTGGAAACGTGACCTCTTGCACATAGTATTTTTTTTTCAAATAGTTCTTCTGATAATTTTATTCACCCCAATGGAAGTTTAAACAGACAATTATAGACTCTAAAAATAAGGAGCAACTTCTACCATTAACAACCCCACTACTAATTAAAAAATCAACTGATCCTATCCACTAACGACCAGCGATGACTTAGTCAATCACAACTCCTT